ATATATATATATATGTACACGCTTAGTTTCCGCACAAACATCCTGCGAATGGCTCGTATCGGCCTTACATATTTCTGTCTTAAAAGCTTGTTTCTTGTTTACAAAACTTTAACTGAGTGCTTCGCAATCTGTTTACGAATTTACTTTCACAGCGTAGTTTAACACGTCTGCATCTAGATGCGGTTGTAACGCGACTGCCTTGCTCGGCGCCGCGCGCCTTCTTCTTCCCCCGGCGTCTGCTCCGCCGCCGCGAAGTAGTGCCGCTTGCGAACGCGTGGTCTTTTCCACTACGACCTAAACTTTGAGTATAAGGGCTCCCACTTGGTGTGTGTGTTGTGTGTGTGATTACGGTACGAATGGTGTAGTTTTGAGTGCTTATGTATATGTTTTAGTGTATATGTGATGTGAATTAAAAGTGTGACTTAAGCCGTGAAACTTTGTGCGTGTGATGTGTGTGTGACGCCTGAACTTGTGATGTGTAAATGTTCGCTTATGTCTGTGTTTGAGTGTATATGTGGTGTGAACTAAAAATGCGACTTAAGCGTTAAAACTTTGTGTGTGTGATGTGTGTGTGACGCCTGAACTTGTGATGTGTAAATGTTTTCTTATGTGTGTGTTTGAGTGTATATGTTGTGTGAACTAAAAATGCGACTTAAGCGTTAAAACTTTGTGTGTGTGATGTATGGGTGGTACCTAATTGTTTGATGTGTGAATGGTCGCTTAAGTGCGTGTTTGAGTACGTGTGTAGTGTAGACTAAAATTGTGCTTTAAGCGTCGAAAATTTGTGTGGATGATGTGTGTGTGATACCTGTCTGTATGGTGTATGAATGGTCGCTTAATTGAGTGTTTGAGTGTGTGTGTAGTGTAGACTAGAATTATGTCTTAAGCGTCGAAAATTTGTACGTATGATGTATATGTGATGCCTGAACGTTTGACGTGTGAATAACCCCTTAAGTACCTGAGTGTACATGTGTTATGAATAAAGTGTATGACCTAAAGGTTGTAACTTGGTATAAATGTTGTGTACGTGGTGTGTGGGTGTTTGTCCTACCTTTTTTCTCTTATACTCAATGTTTTTACTTGCACGAAACAAAACCTTTTACCTTACCAAAACAACAACGCTGCCCGCAAACAAACAACGAAAATAAAACTAGAATTAAAACAGAAAACAGACATAAAAAAATAAAACTTGCTTTTCTGCTTTTGTACCTAACACTGGTCCACCCGCGGTCTTTGCCGCCCTTATCTCTACCTACTACACTTAAACACACGTATGTGATTATATATAAAAGTCCTCTATATAACTTGCGCGAACGCCTTAATAACTAAACGGCCTTAACACTAAAGTCTCTAAAATTGCAGGTTGATGTTCCCTGGGTGTCAGGTCACAAAGTCCCAGCGAATGGTTGTGGAATGATTTAGGAGAATATATTCGTGAAGTAACTGGATGGCATGATTCCTCGTCAAGTACTAGTGTACTTGTTGCAAAAGATCCTGTCTCAACGTCGAGATTTCTTGATAATAAATTTAAAGCAATGCTTGACTTTATATGTTCTAAAGATCATCCGATTGGAGAAGTAACTCATTACTTCTGGCGCCGAGAATATCAAAGTAGAGGTTTACAACATTTTTATTTATTAATTTGGATTAAAAATGCGCCGATTATAGGAGAATCGTCTATTGAAGAAATTTCCAACTTTATTTTGCAACATGTAAATTGCAAAATGCCGAATCAAGATATATCACCGCTATTATACAGACGTGTCCATACGCATCAAACCCACATACATAACAATTATTGTCTCCGCTCTAAGAAGGTAGGACGTAAAGTTATACGTAGATGTCGTTTTGGATTTCCTCGTCCTGTCACAGAAACAATTAATATAAAAGATGTTGCAAGTTCGATAGCAGATAGAAAACATTTAAAACATAAAAGTAGACTTTACGATTTTCCTCGAATAGAGAATGAAGTTAATATAAATAATTATAATCCTGTTCTTCTTACTGCGTGGGAAGGAAATATGGATATATAATTTATTGTTGAGAAGTCAACATTGCTTACTTGGTATGTCACCAAGTACATGAATAAAGCTGGAAAATGTGAATTATCTGAATTTATTATCAATAGCAAAAATATTCAAAACAAATCATTGGGAAGTTTCCTTTGGAATATTGCTTTGCGATTTATGCATAATAGGGAATGTGGAGCTCTCGAAGCTGCTGATACATTGTTAGGTATTCCTTTGTACGGATCGAAATACGACTATTAAATGGCTAGATGTTAATCTAATACAATATAGAAAATTAAAAAGCCGCAAAGAGATTGAAGAACTTGATAGTGAATCTACGGATATATTTTGCCCTTCTTTGATAGACAATCGTTATCCAGATAGACCGAAAGAATTGAAAAGCGTGTCTCTTTATGAGTTCGCACAGTGGTACGACATCACAAAGAGTAAACCGAAAAATAAGAATGTCGAATATTACAAATTAGATAATGGTCTTTATCTTAAACGACGGAAACGTGGATATCTTATCAATCATTACAAATACAATGTTAATATACAAACGGAGAATTATTTCTTTGCATTATTACTCATGTTTAAACCATGGCAAAAATTAGAAGAACTTAAATAATGTGATACATATACAGAATCATTTCACAAAGTAAAATTACATCCAATAGAAGCATTGCAATATCATGAAAAAATAGAAGAATTACAAAAAGCTTTTGAAACTGCAAAACAGTTGGTTCAAGAATATGATGATAAATTAGAGAAACAAGATGTAGATGATCCAGAAAATCCAATAGGTATTCAAAACATAGAAGCTGGTGAAGCAATGCAAGATTTTAAAGATCTTGGTGAAAAAATAGATAAAAAAGTCGATGTATCTGATATGATAGTAAAATTAAATACAGATAAAAAAAGAGTGTTACGTCCTGGCCCACGGTTACGGTCGGGCTATGGTGTGACGCAACAGTAAACGCGTCGTTTTCTATATCTATCTTTACAGTGGACACGGAAGTCTCGCTGTAAGAGAGTCGAGCGAGTTTGTTTATAGTCGTCAACAGGTCAACGGCGTACGCCGATCTTACTCTGTCTAGCAAACACTCGCTCGTTGGTCCTTTTTTAGGTCTGAGACGCAAGTCTTATTTACCAAGGACGGGACCTAGCAATTTTAACGAGGAAGTGAGAGTGGGTTGTACGGAAAGAAGGATAACAAAGAATAATTCTTTAGTTTGACTCCACATATTACAAAGTAGTTATATTTATTGAAAAATCGAAATCAATGAATTAATAACAGACATGCAGAAATTAATACGATACAATAAAGGAGCATATAATCGTTTCGTACAATGTAATCTACANGCTAGAACGCGAGTGTGAGAAAGAAAAAGAATGCGAGTTTTTTAGTGTAGCCAGCCTCTTAACCCATGTTTATACAACTTAAATCATCTTAAAGATTTGTATCTTGATAAATTCGGTTTTTTTCATTTCTTAGGTTTCAATGGAAATAACGATTGGAATAAATTTGGATGTGTCATGATTCTAAGACTGATATTCGGAGATAAGCGAGTTTTGTTTGTTTCCGTGATTTAGAAAGGAAAAAAAAATAATTCGGACGCCACCCGAGACGGCTATATACCGCGAGTAGCCCTTCCGAAAACTTCGGCTGCCACCCGAGACGACTATACACCGCGAGTAGCCCTTCCAAAATTTCGGCTGCCACCCAAGACGGTTGTACACCGCGAGTAGCCCTTCCGATAATTCGGACGCCACCCAAGACGTTTGTACACCGCGAGTAGCTCTTCCGATAATTCGGACGCCACCCAAGACGGCCATACCGCGAGTTGCCTTTCCGATTAAATTGAATTTTTGAGTGTGTCTATGTATTTGTTTATTTTGAATGTTTCTTGATTTCTCCGAAAATCAGTCGCAAAGTCGAGAGGTAGGTACGCGAACAGTGGAACCTCCGAATGAAAGTAATTACAATGTGGACTTACTATTAGCTGCGGACCAGTAATGTTGATTAATAAAAGGTTCTAGGCTGTTGCGGCGTAGTAGTTCACTCTTGGATCTCACATTCTGCACTCACTGTCACTCACTCACTCGCTGTGGTGCTTCTAAAATCTGCGGCACTAACTAGATACGCAGCGCGGTTCTTTCTGTTTTTTGATTCCGAGAACCCTGGCTTATATACAGTTTTGAGTAAGCGAGGACTCTCCCAATCGGGAACTCAGTTGAGCTTTGCTGGTTCCTATTTGTTAATTAGTCGGTCGGGCGACTTCCGAGATCGCCAATCGGCGACGATCTCTCGCTTCGGTCGCCTCGTCCAATTTTTCGGGGAAGGAAAAAGGGAGAGTGTTGTCTTTTCGACAACGCCGCATAGACCCTTCGATATTTATCGAGTAATAAACCTTTTTTATGTAAGTCCTCGTGGCGACGGATCTTTACTTGCGCCGGCTGTCCTAAATTTTATAGGATGTATTCATTTGACCCGGAGATAACCGGGTTTATTTGGAAAGTTGCTCGGGATGTTTAAACAATAATAAAAATTTCTGTTTGCTATCGTCTACGAAGGAATTTTTAAGATCGTTGCTAGGCTTGGTTTATTGTTTTCGGACGTCGACACGATTTCTATTTGCGCGCCTATCGCGTCGAAGTCCGAGTCCGTTTATGTTATTTATTGAGAAAAAAAAGAAATTTAATGTATGTTGGTGCGTCATGTTGCAAGAAAAAGGGGCCCGTGGAGTCCCCAGGACGTAACAAGAGTGTTTGATAAAGTTGTTAGCAGTGTAAGATCGGATGAATCGATATTACGATTATATATTAGCGGAGAAGGTGGCGCTGGAAAAAGTTTCCTAATTAAAACCATCAAATGTTGGATAAAACAAACTCTCAACAAGGATACTGCTGTAGCAGCTCCTACTAGTATTGCAGCGTTTAATATAGATGGTTTAACAGTTCACAGATTACTTCAATTGCCTGTTGAACACGGTTTTACTCNAAAATATAAACAGTTATCTGATCATGTATTAAAAGTTTTACGAGCAGAATTAAAAGATGTTATTCCCAATATAATCGATGAAGTGTCAATGATATCTAATTTGACTTTAATGTATATACATCTTTAGTTGTCTCAAATATTCGATACTACTGANTGTGATGACGGTTGGTTCGGTCGAAAGCATATTCTTCTACTTAGAGACTTGCTTTAATTACCTCCTATACACGATAATCCAGCTTTTATACGCTTATCAAAGGAAACAGTTAATACATATCTTGGATCTATTGAAGCTATTAACCTATGGATTACATTGTTTGACTATGATGAACTGACAATCAATATGCGACAGNAAGGAGATAACACTTATCGTGAATTACTGTCAAGAATTCGTATTGGTTTAGTGACTCCGTCTGATTGTGAGATTCTTTCAAAAAGAAAAATAGTTTTTGAAAGTGTTTCCATGAAATCTAGATTAAACGAATTATGTGATATTATCAATACCTATTCACTGGATACTGTATGTTTATTGCCTATTTGTCATATGTGTGATGTTTTTAATGCGGCAATGTTAAATTGTATTAAGGAGAAAGAAATGATATTAATTGCGGAGGATACGATAGAATGTACTCCGTTTGTGAAAAAGAAAGTCTTAAAAGTACTGTCGGCTATAGAAGATGATAATTCTAGAACAGCCGGACTTTTGAAAAGAATTATTATAAAAGTCGGAGCAAAGATTATGATAAGACGTAATATTGATGCTAGCTTAGGACTTGTAAATGGTACAATAGGTATAGCGGTTTTGGTTATTGGAAATATTTCGAATAATGAATATATAGAAAAAATAAAACTTCGCTTGTCATCAGGTTTAGAATTTTCAATAGAAAAAGTAAATGTCAAGTTTCAGGTGATGGAAAAAGCTTATGTTATTAGAAAACAATTTCCATTGTCTTTGAGTTACGGAATCACTATTCATAAAAGTCAAGGATTGAGTTTGTCTAATGCTATTATGGACATAGGTACTTCGATATTTAGTCCTGGTCAAATTTACGTTGCATTGTCACGAGTAACATCTCTAGAAGGACTGCGTTTAATTAATTTTGATCNTTCATCTGTAAAAGCGAGTGAAGAAGCTATTATTGAATACAACAGGTTAAAACAACTTCATAAATCAGAAGCAAAAATGATTGCTGTTTTAAAACAGAAAATTTGTAAAGTAAAAGATACCCCTTGGACAATATCAAAAGTAATCGCTTCTGTACAACAGGAACCACATGAAATTATTCAAACAAATGATGCTTGAATCATTCGTGGTTTCCAAAATAATGACAAAGTTTCATCTTATGCAAATGCGGTATTGCAATGTTTGCTACATTTAAGTGTTGTTAGAAAAAAAAACTCGATTGTGATAAATTAAATGTTTTGGCTACATTAATTCACCGATATGAAAATGGAATGTCTAACTTGAATACATATGCAATACGACAATATCTAGGAGATAACTTTACGTAAAATATAAAATGTGACGCGTCTGAATTTCTTCTGGCTCTCTGTGCAAAATATGATTATATAAAGAGTCTAATCGAGCATCAAGTAACTTCTACTGTAATATGCAAAAGTTGTGATTCTACAAACACCACTGTGTCAAATAATATTCTCATCTCAATTTCTGTTGTTAATTTTAAAAAGAAAAGTTATGATCTTAACGATTTGTTAAATANTACCTTTTCGCATTGGTGTAAAGAATATAAATTATGTGCAAATTGTACTGGAAAAGACATGTTACTTAAAAGAGAATTAACATTNACAAGAGAGATACTTATTATTCATTTAGTATTAGTTGTACAAGACGGTAAATTATTAAAACTTGATTTTAATTTACGTGCAGTTCCAACAACTAAAATATCAGTAATGGACAGTTGTATAAAGTCATGAATGCGATATTCCATCACGGATCATGTATAGAACACGATCATTACATAAGTACAGACGGCGTCATTAATTCGAAGAATAGGCGCGGGAATCGGAGAACAAGCGGGGCGGTTGCTCGTAGCGCCAACGGGCGCCGTACTAACTAACTAGTAGCAATCGGGTGTCCACAACTGGACACCCGATTTTGGGACTAATGNATATTTGGATCAACTGGACTTTTTATGTGATTCTCGCGCCTATTCTTTGAATTAATAACGCCGTCTGTACATGTCGAGAAGGAAGATCTAATTGGATTGAAGTTGATGATGGGACAATTAATAAAACAATAAAATGGCCTAGAGGGGCTAAAAATATTTACATACTATTTTTAGAAAAAATAACAAAAAAATATACTCAAATATAAGAAAATATATAAGTGCTTAAAATAATTAACCATTTTAAAATTTTTGCGCCAGATAAAAACAATAGCAAAACTTTCTGTCGAATATGATTAGAATTCACAGAAAAAAATTTTTTTAATGAAAGTACTTTCAACACTTTGTTATGTGTATTATTTTGTTATATATGTTATTGTTATTATGTAGAAATATATTGTATTAAAAGAAGTGTTTGTAAAACCATTTTCTACAAAAATGTGTGATATCCCAAACAAAATACCTTTTCAAAAAAAAGTAAAAAAGGCGCCAAGTACATGCGCAACTCGTATCTCTAAAGAAAAAGTATTACTATAAAATTTTTTCTCTACAAAATCTATTCTACAAAAGAAATGACATCACTAAGTAGCGCCAAGTAAAATCTCAGTTATACATTATTACAAAATATAAAATATATAACACTTTCTAAGTTGTTTATACGTTGTAAAATATAAAATATAAAATATTCAAAAACAATAGAAAGTTTAAAATATTATGTGACCAATGTACTTTGTACAAAAAAAATGATATCACTAAGTAGCGCCAAGTAAAATCTTGTACAGTTATACATTATTACAAAATATAAAATATATAACACTTTTTAATATAAATATATAACACTTTCTAAGTTGTTTATACGTTGTAAAATATAAAATATAAAATATTCGAAAACAATAGAAAGTTTGAAATATATTATGTGACCAATGTAGTTTGTATATAAAGCATCCATCGTGTAAGTAATAACTTTGCCTTGCGTAGAAAATCTTAAACTATGTCAAATCATACATGTAGATTTCGCTTTGTGTGAAAAGTTAAAAAACCCACGTGGAATTTTTTAAAATAAAAAATTTAATTGTTTATACATTGTAAACGGGCGTGTTCCGTTTGACCACAGTACGATTCGACACCGATCGATTCGACACAGATTTATTCGACACCAAATTATTCGACACCGTACGATTCGACACC